AATTGACCCAAATGAGGTATAGGCATGCCACGGAATACACAAGTAACATGCACCTGCAAACATGATTGACATTAGCATGCAAACGCGCTTTGCTGCTTTCAGCGTGTTCTGCAACATGAGCACTCTTGTCAATGCGCCGGCTTTGCGCTGCAACTTTGTCAACTTGCAGATGCTGCTGGGTGCGCATGTACAGGTGCACATATAAAATCGCGAAGATGCCAAAAAGTTGGCTTCAGAGTATTTTGGCAACTTGGCACATGCACGCAAATGCCACAAAAAGACTTTCACGCGCTGGCCTGCTATTGTGCTTATGAACTTGCATGCAAACAAATGGCTTGAACACGCAAGTTTGCAATTCAAACCCAAGCTCAACAAGGCAGCAGTGAATTGGTGCAAGCCCGTGACAATGAGCTGGCATAACTGCATTAAATTCCATTGTTGTGTTTTCCAGTTCACACTTAGCTCACATGTTAGCATCTGGGTATAAGTGCTTATCTGCTAAGCCAGCTAAGCGCTGCAACTGCAATACCATAAGCCACGCATATTTACAACTTATGTTGTTCAGCTAAGCCCTCTGCTAAAAGACCTCAGCTCTTAAAAGACATGAGGAAGTTACTAGGAGTAAACAAGGTTTGCAACATAGGATGTAGATTTTATGAGGGGGTCTGCGCGGCGCAGCACTGCCTCTTCTAAGTACATAGCATATGCGTAACTCTTAGCAACCTCCCGGGCCATCCCAGAACCACAGCCCCTCCCCTGCTTGCGGCTGCTTGCTTCTCTGGCGACTCCACCCCACAAAGCAGCTGCAAAGTCGCAGCCTGGTCTTTCAAGAATTCGTACTTCAACCGCTGTCTACATCGCCTCAAAAGACACGCCAGACATCCGCTCCGTTGCCCCGCTGTTCCGCAAAGCTGCTTTGCTTCGTTGCTCCGCTGCTACTCTGTCTCTCAGATCAACGGAGGAAGGGAGCACCGCAGCTTCGGGGAACAACCGGGAAACGGAGCTGAGCAACGGATCAGAGAAGCTTCCCGCAACAACGAGGTAACAGAGCGGAGCAACGGAGTAACGGAGCCAAGAAGCAAAGCAGCTTCGCGGAACAACGGAGCAGCGAAGGGGAGCAATGGAGAAGCGGCTCGCGGGAACAGGGCCACCGAGCAGGGCAGCGGAGCACCGGAGCAACGGAGCGCAAAACACCAGGCAACGCAACGGAGCAACGGAGCAACAGAGCAAAGCAGGCAACGGAACCGGGCAACAGAGCAACGGAGCGAAGCAGCTTTGTGGAACAACGGGGCAGCTGAGCGGAGCAACGAAGCAACGGAGCAACGGAGCGGAGCAGTTTCTTGCACGACACGATTTGCGAGCGCTCTGGCAAAGACGGCGCCCATTTCTATTTTGAGAAACCCCCTTAACTCTCCGACATACTTCCATTTCGTGGAGGGAGCGCCTCAAAAAGTTCTGGGTGGACCGGTGGAACAGCCAAGCGTCCCCACCGACAACCGGGGGGAGCCCTTCTGCTTCGAATCTCCGACTTCGAATTCGGCGCTGAGGTGCGGATGATCCCCATCTTGATGGCCTCCGCCAGGCCCTCCGCCACCTCCCGGCGGCTCAGGCTTTGGAGCACCGTGGGGTCCGCGAAGATCACCTGGCGCCCCTCCCCGCTCCCCCCCCATGCCCCCGGCGGAGGGCCCCGAAATATTGGAAAAAGCGCAACTGCATGGGCTCGAGGTGTTTAGGAACAACTCTTGCGCACGACTGTGTCCTTGTGAGGTTGGAGTTAGTTTGTTCATGTCCGTGCTGTTCCTGCCTGCCAAAGCTCCGGCAGAAAGTGGATTTGCCACACCAATCGGAAGCCAATACGCCACTCAAATGGGTCGGCAAGCAAAGTGGGGCCTAAACGCCTGAACAATCAGAAACATACAACAAAAAGTGGACAGCCCGAGGGGTAATCACATTGAAATCTAGGTGCAAAGAGCCTGCTAGCGGCTGCTAGCGGTTTCAAAGGCTCGAACTGCATCTTGCGAAGTGACCCGCGAAATGTCAACGCTAAGCCGCAGAAATCTCAATCCCCAGCAAACGGGGTGTAATTCACGGGGCACCCACCCAAAGCAAAGAGAAACACCTATTCCACCCTTCATTCCCGAACCCCACAGCGCAACAAGAGGACGATGTGATTTCCAGGCGCCTTGGGCTGGTGGAAGGCTCCGATGAGGTTCTTGCCTGCGGGCACGTTCAGCGCCGTCTTGCCCCCCACGCTGCTGTCGATCATGGCCATGGTGGAGGTGGGCACCTGCACCCCACCCCCCCGTCCGGGGAGAAGAAAACATACGCCCCACAAAGACACACACACACACACATACCCCCAAAAAAAGAACAAGCCCGAAACACCCCAACCCCTCCGCCTGCACCACCGGCACCCCGCGCATGTAGGTGGCAGCGGTAAAGCCCACCAGGTCCCCCACCACCCCGCCCCCCAGCGCCAGCATGGCGCTGTCTCGCGTGCACTTGTTCGCCAGCATGAAGTCCTGGCTATTGGCCATGGGGCCACTTCGGCGACGGTTTCGGGGCGAGCGCTTCTAGAGGGTTCCGCAGGGTCTGGGGCAACAATTCTGGGCCCGCAAATTGAAACTCGATGAAAGCTATCTCGAAGTGGTCCAAAAGGTGGATGAACGACACCGCACTCCAAACATTCAAGCGTGCTTCCGATGGTCAGCTTCAAAGAATATGCACTTCCCAGTTCTATCTGCGTGTACGGGTGCGAATGCGCGATCTGCTCTCGCCGGCTGCTTGCAACTAACCACAGTTCTGCGTGAGCCGTCAGCAAAACCTGGCACTAAAGCGGCCCACCCAGAATCCAACGCAGCTGGTTGAGGTTGGGACTTGCAACTGTCCCCTATCCAACTTTAATCCAGGTTTTGAGTGTGGCTCCTCTGAAGAAAAAATCGGAGACCCTGAGCCGGGCTTGCCCCAGGCTTCCGTACCCCGGCCTCGATCGCTGCCTTGGTCTCCCGGTTCTTGGAGGACTCCCCGGGCGCGAAGGCGTAGCGCAGCACGCGGGGGCCGCCCGGATTTTCCGCCCCGTGCTTTTGGAAGGCCGCAGCCAGGCGCTCCCCGTAGAGGCCTCGAAAACCGCGAGGCAGCCGAGGAAACGGACGGGATGGAAGGCAAAAGGTCCCCTTACAACGGCCCGGTCCGCTTCCATGACCATGAGTCTGGTCAAGAGAGGATCCAAGGGCTGAAGAAAAAAAGCAGTGGCCTCCACCTTCCCGTTAAACCGGTGTCGCTCTGAGGCGGTGACCATCGACCGTCTTGTCGCTGACAACGGCCTGAGAAGGCTGGGCCCAACACTTTGACTGCTGTCGTGCTGAACTTGCATGCCAAACCAGAACTTCCGCAAGGCTGCTCACACTTTAGACAGTCGAGTTGTCTGCTCAAAGCAAAGGGTGATGTCAAAAGCGGCACCTTGTTTTTGCGTGGGAGAAAGACACAGCGACACGCGACAGCCATGCATCCGTAGGCATGCAGGAAATCATATGCCAAGAGCCAGTCGGCGACACTGGCACACGGTGGGAACTCAAGAGCCAAAGAACCGCAAAAAACAATCAAAGATTTCAAATAACCAAAGAAACCAAAGGTCCACTTAACCAAAGAACCGAAGAACTGAACAAAAAGGCAAAGCAACAAGCTGCAACGAAAAAGCTCCGCACATGTACCCCAAAATCCTTGGGCCCCCCGCCAGTGCGGCCGGCTTCAGCCCCAACGCATGCAGCCGCGAGGGGATCTCCTCCAACAAATTGGCCGCGATGAGTACCCGGCTGTCCCCGATGACCGGGATCTCCTAAGGAGATCAGGGGCCAAGGCGAAGGCTTCGGCACCCAGCGCCGGCGGGGCATCTTTGGGGCCTTTGGCTCGGAGACTTTTCAACTCAATTCTTCTTGGCCCTGGTTCGGTTGAACCGTGCGCCACCTTGGCGCATTGGTGTCACCAGGAGAGCATCTTCATGCCAGGTGTTGCATTTGAGGAGGTGGTTGAAAGCCAGCGTTCGGGCTACGAGGCATGGTGTTGCGGCTCTCAAGGTACAACCATGGAATCAGGTGCGCTGATGGGGATCCTTCATTTTACAAAACCACAATCTTGGAGTCAAAGGTTGGAGACGCTAGGTTTCTGGCTGGCAACGGAAAAAGGGGAGAAAAAAAAACAATGCGTCGGCATTTCCAACAACAGCCGTCCGAAGCGCGACCGCTTCTTTTTGCTGGGAGGAGTCCCGCCCTGACTCAGGCCGTGAGCAGCGCACATTTTAGGTAAATAAGCCACACGTTAAAACATCGAAACGCCCCATGTTGCGTGCGCCGCCCGCACCCAAGGCTTCAAAAGGCTCCAGCTCGAGCTGAAAACCCCCTCCTTCACCTCCGTCTTCCGCGGCGACCGGGAGCGGTCGCGCGTCATGGGCCCCACAGCGCGCGGGGCCCCAAGAAGAAGGCGGCAACGAAGGCCCCCCAACGGCTGAGCCAGGCCACGTGACGAGCACGGGGAAGGGATGGGGTGATACTCTAGATTGACAAAAACCATTTTGCACCACCTAAGAAACCCTGGTTTCTGCTGATTCCCCTGTAGATATCAACATACAATGTTTTCTCAAGGCTTCAAAGTGGCGCAGAATTCTGTCCATCCACAGTAAGGAAGGCAACTTCCACATCTTCAACTTTCATCAAACAGCCATGAGTACTATTACGAATCATGTCCAGGTGTGAGCAACCCCCTGACCCCCCCCCCCCTCTGAGCTACGTCCTGCAAGGCACTCGTGGTCAAGAGTCATTTCACCCCTGTGCCTTGAAGCTTGCTTCCTGGTTGGGGCAGCACACTCGTGCGTTTCATGTCCAGCTTGGGCGAGCAAGCAGTTTGAAGTGCGTTTTCGGCGGCCGCACTTGTCCAACGAAGAGAAGTGGAGGTAGGGGCCTACCCTATTCCACCATCCCACCTCCCGCCCTGCCAGCATGGCACGCCTGTGCAACGCCTCGGCGTCTGTGGGCCTCATCTCCTCCACAAACCAGGTGATGCCTTTGTCCTGACCGGGGCCAGGAAACCTACCCTCCAAAAAAGGGGCAGCACCAAGCAAAGTGCCTCCTGCGAACGAGATCGGTCTGCCCCGCCAGTGAAGTGGACAGCTTCACGGAATGCATCTGTGGTGAAGTTTCAAGAAAGCTGACATTTTGCTTTCAATCCCCATTTTGAGGAAGCGAGGCCGCCATGAACACACGGCGCAGGGGAAGCACAACCATCCTACGTCTCAAGGCAACCGCTGGAAGCTCAGACCTGAATTCTTAATGTTGACCCCGGATTAATACACCCTTGTCTGATAAATCCCCACTGAACCCAGGGACACCCCCATATTAATAAACAGGGGTTTATTCATCCGGGGTCAACACTCTGCCATTCTCGGCTGCTTGGAAAGTTCACGAACAAACCAGTGAGGACCGGCCGTCGCCCTATTTGAGCAGGAGGGCGGACGAAAGCGCAGGAAGGGGCAATTTGGGCCCAAAGCGAGCCTAGAAGCTGAAGGCGCATCGGGGGCAGGGACTGCTTCTTCGATTCTTCGAACTTGCTCCACTCAAATTTTGGTTACCGTCGACAAGTGAATATTTCAACCCAAGAACTTGCTTACGCGTGGTCCAAGAGAAGGCTGTTCATAGCTCCAATTTTGGGAACAAGACTGTCAGATTCTTCCTCCGGCTCTGGGGCCCAAGGCTGAACCTACGACAAAGGGCTCTCAAGGAGCCCATGGTTTCTTCGCCCCGCCATTCCCGGCCGCCAGCCTGGAAGGCCTTTGACAGGTCCTGGCAAGGCTGGGGCTTCCTTCTTTGGGCCGAAGAAGGAGTTGACGGAACTCAAGCATGGACCATTCCATACCGTTCCAAGCAAGCCAAGATGAGCGGGTTGGTAATAGAGGCCGTCAACTGAAAAAATGCCAAGCAAAAAGCAAGACATTGCCGTCTACAAAACCGACTGCTCATTGCGATGAACAGTGTGGTGTGCCTGAGAAGGGCAACTTGTTGTTCTTTTGGTGCGATGTGGTCAATGTGGTCTCCATTTATGGAGCCCCCAATTGCCATGAAGGGAAGCGATGCCCGGCACGCGAAACCCTCAGTGCTTCGAAAGATTGACGGAAGGAGCTCCTCAAAGGTCCACTCACGGGCGCAGGCCAGCAACTCGTCCTGGTGCTTCTGGATCTCCTGAGGGCTAGGGGACCTGGAGAGGGACTCTGGTCAATCACGTTGTAATGTTGACCCCGGATTGATACACCCCTCTGGTTGATTAATAGGGGGGTGTCCCCTTTTAGTGGGGATTCATCACTTTTGGAGGGAACACCCCCCTAATAGAGGAACGGGTTTATTAATCCTGGGTCAACATTAGGGTGGAAGTAACTATAGACTGTGGCTCGCGTGTTTGATACGAAGCTTGGCATACTTGAGGGGCCCTCCATGGTATGAGGCCGACCCTTGTGCCGTAGCCGTTTAGTGCATGATTTCGGACCATCTCAACGGGATGCAATGGAGAAACAAATTTCACAGCCCTTCTTTCCCTTACACCCATGGCTGCCCTTACCTTATAATGGGAAACTTCTAGAGTCCCCCCACGTCACTGAATGAACCATTGTCAACTTGTCAATTTGTGACCGAACATGAGAACTCGCAAGCCCTTTTCTGCGACGAATCGTGGACCCGCAAGTCAGCCTCTGAGTTTCGCCCTCTCGCGACTCCTCCCAGCTGTAACCCTCCAACTTCTGCCGGAGCTTCTCGATGCCCCCTGGCCGCCCAAAAATGCCAATGAAGAAATTCCTCCATGACAGTCGCTTTAACCTCCAATGTGAGCACATCCCCTGTTTGAGGTCCAGCCCTAGAAGCCAAACCTCCGGGCCGGCCCCCCACAGCAATCTCAGCATGCGCTTTTGCTTGGTTTGGCTTCTGATTGCCAATTTCTTGGCGCCATGGCCGAAGTTTTCGGCGAAGCTACGGCAAACCTCTTGTGTGGGGCCTGAGGTCAGTTCTCGCCCCCGGCCTCCCAGCTGGTCCGCCAGATTCTCGCGGCGGCCAACCGCGTGCAGCAGGACCCAGGCGTCGTGCGGCTGATGTCCTCGCGGCCCAGGAGGAAATCGGCCATAAGCTATTGGCTGGTGCGCTTTGATGCTGGTACAGCCCTGAAGGGTTGTCGGGGACACCCCAAATGAATGCTTGCTGAAATCAGATGGTCTTGGACAGGTGACGTTTCAAGCCACCGGCCCTACAAGGGGAAACTCGGGGGAAAGAGTGGACCGAAGGAGGGCATAGAGTCTTTGGTTGGCAGCGCGCGTTACGTCCTCCAAACTTGCACCATTCAAAAGGGAAAGCCTTCCATGAAACTGCTATGCTTGGTTAAGTGAAGGCTCAAGTGCCTGGATTCCAGGCCGCCAGGCCTTTCTGCCTGCCAGCTTTCCGAGCTCCGGGCTTAGCCAAACAGGTGGGTGGATGCTTGACACCCTTTTTATTCTCAGTTGGAACGATTGTTTAATTGCTTAAGACTGGGTGATGCGTCAAGCATTGGGGTTGTAGATCGGGTCTGCCCTGGGTTTTGCTTCTGGGAAATCTCTGGCATTTCAAAAACCGGAGGTTCAGCAGGCCAACCACAGGCAGAAAAACCTGCCCTGCCAGTCATTTGCCTATCCCTCCCCAGCCAAAGCGACCTCGGCGTTCCTCGGTCCCATCGAATCGAGGCGTCCTCGGCCCAGGAGCCGCAGGAAGCGGCCGTCCAGCGTCTGCAGCAGGGGGCTGCTCAGCGGCTCCGGCGGCTCGAGCGCCGACAGGCGCTGGCCTTGATGACTCGATTCAGTTGGCATTGATACCATCGAAAGGGGGGGAAAAAGGACACAAACCATGAGGATCACCGCTTGAGAATCGCCCCATATCGGTTTCTCTCCTTTTTTGGTGGGAGTGAGAAACCTGAGGCCCAAATTTCGATACCAACAACGGTGTCCCACCGTTGGAGCCCTCTCGCAAATTTGCACCTGCTGAGCTTGGAAAAGATCCCTCAAAAGCTGTGGAGATACCGCCCATTTGTCAAGGTGGCATGAGCTGATGAAGAGCAACTTCGCAAAGCACGCCGAGTACGAAGTACTTCCCTCGGCAATCATTGAGCTTCACCCGAGGCACCAAGAATACTGGTTGCACCTGAAAACGTTGGCTTCCTCTCTCTCTCTCTCTCTCTCCCCCTTTCTGTCTCTCTCCCGCTCTCGCGTCCAAAGGGTCTTGTCAAGGCAACAGCTTCGTGCATCCGACCTATCTCCCAGCTCTTGGCTCCCCCCCTCGTCTTCCCAGCATCTGTCGGTTTCAGACTCCATCTGGGCGCCCAAACGACGCAGCCAAAGCCGCACCCTGCCCGGTGGCCCATCTCTCCAAACCAAGGGGCAGTACACTCCAGCACGGTGTCGGCTCACCTGCACAGCGCACTGATGCAAACCAATGCACTTTGCAGGTTGGCAACTGGTGTCCTGCGACTGAGTGCAGGGTGAGTGGGATCCAAGTCACAAACACTTCAGGACTTGCTTTCAGAATCCGGGTTTAGTGCCCCGAACCCACGATAGCTTCGGAAGTAAGTTTTTCATGCCACGGCATGACAAGGCACCCAACAAAGGGAGGTTTCGAGGGCAACGCACTCCCAAACACAGGCGTTTCCCATGTTGGGTGTGGAATCTTGCAACCCGCCTCGGCCAAAAAAAGGCCAAGCACCCCAAAAAGGGGCCAAGGGAGGACCAGGGCATTCCAGCGGTTTCTCTGGGTTTTGGGAGTCGCATCTCCGCATGCCCGGATAGAGGTCCGCCTGCACCAGCTGCCCATTGCCGGTGCGCTGCTGCCGCAGCAGCGCGGCGCCCAGGCCCCCCAGCGCCAGCTGCGCCAGGCTCAGCTCACCCAGGCCCGGGGGCTCACTGCGGACGCCGAAGGTCTGGCCCAGGCCGCTGGCCTGGCACTCGCTGGGCTTCTTCTGCTTCAAGGGATGCCCTCGGTCTGAAGGGATCCCCTTGAAGCAAAAATTCGGGATTTGTCTTTTAAAGGGCAGCAAAGGCGACACCAGACCCAAAATTGGGCCAACTTTGCTGCGAACTCAAATCTGCCGGTGTTGGGGGTTCATCTGCGACGGGAACGTGAACCCAAAGAACATCGTCACAACTCAGGCCAGAAGTTGGCCAGCAAAAGCTCAACCAGCTTGAGGGGCAACCGGGCGACCGTACTCCGATGCGCCTCCCAGAAGGCATGGGACTCCTGGCCGCCTTTGCGGCTGCTCAGCTCTCTCTCCCGCGCCCACACGTCACAGCCCCAGGTAGTGATCAGCACCTGAGGGAGGGGAGGAAGGGGAGGGGGGAGGAAGGGAGGGAGGAGGGAGGAAAACAGGGAGGGGAGGGAAAGGGAGCGCCTCGCTCTGAGAGCCATTCTTTCCCGCAAAAATCGGCTGTTTGGTTCGCAGCTTGGCGAGCCAGTCAAGGTCATTGTTTACTGCTACAGCTCTTCACGCTTCCGCACTGCAAACACGGCAAGGAGGGAAGCTACGGAAAGCTGCAGTGATTGGCCTTGTGCTCTTGGTTCGCCTGTTCCCTGAACCCTCTCCATTCAAAGTGCTGAAATTGAAACGAAAAACACGGAGCTGTGGGATATCCCTGTGAGGAACCTTCTCCATGGCCAGTACCCCAAATGCGTGCCTGTCGTGAGAACTGAGTGGAGCAAGGCGGTGCCCGGACACGGTCGAATCGACCCGGATGTTGCTTGATTCCGGAAAGCCATGAGTTGGGCAGATTGGATGCCAAGCAAGCTGAATGCCCACAGCAGGGTGGGTGAAACCTTTCAATGAGTCAGACTGAATTGTGGACATAGGAGCAAGTAGACTCCATGTGCCGTGGGCTTCTTGCACTGTGCGTTTTCAATGGGTGTCAAAATTGTATGTCTGGGGGACCACGTTTGGACACCTCCGGTCCAAAGATCTTCCAATCTTCACGACGCAAAGTCAACTACAACAGACCCAGCCAAGCCACCTCAACACTACACCTAAGCTAACGCAAAGCTCACCCAAAACAACCCACCAAACAACCCACCAAGTGGCGATGATCAGGTGAGGGAACATCTCCCTCAAGCGCTTCGGCTCCAAGCCCCAAGCCTGGTCGATTCTGAGTATGGCAAAAGGCAGTTCAGACAAACTCGACACTTCCATGCTTTTGAATGCTGTTGCTCCATGCACCTGCCTCCAGTCGCAAAACTAATGTTCAAATTGTCGTTACAGGCCTCAGGTGCCAAATGCTAAGACTGTCTTCAACAGCCCTCAGGCAAGCAACACCGGGTAAAGCATCAGGGAGCGCCGATATGAACTTGAAGAAGAGTTTTGCTCCATGAGCCCCATGAACCAAACGCGCCCAAACCCCCAAACAGAATCCCAAACCACAAATCCCCCATCCAAACACCCACCCCGCCCAAACACCCACCCCGCCCAAACACCCATCCCACCCCACCCCACCCCACCCCACGCCCCCTAAACCTAGAGTCTTTGAGTAACCCCCCGCCTCGAGGGCGGCCAGTGGCAGATTGGTCACCAGCACCGTGGCCTCCGCCAGCGTTCGGTACAGCGCCGCCTGGCCCGGCAGCGGCGCGCCGCTTTTGGCGTCGCTGCCCCCCACGCCCGTGTAGTTCACCTGCTGCACCTCACCAGGGCTGTGGGTTCAAGGCCGGAATCCTGAAGAAAGTCTTGGGGAAATTCCTATGGAAATGGGGGAATTCAGGAGCAAGGGGCTTGTAGACATTCAAAAGGCTCTAACCCAAACAGGGCTCTGCCTGGATGCGCGAGGCCCAAAGTGCTTCGCACTTGCTTTGTGCCCAAATGACATGCGAAACATGCGTTTGCAAGTTGCTGAAATACGGCAAAGCAAACACATGATGGCTGGTAGGGTCCCAAGTGCGCTCTATCGGGCCGTCTCCAACTGTTGGCAAGCGTCTCCCTGCTTCAGCACATGAGCACTGAATTGTGCGAATGCCCGCAAATTCTGTAGTATTTGCTTGTTGCGCTTTAGCGGCGGAGATGAAACAGGAAAAGTAATCCGCGGTGGTGGTCATTCCGGGGACAAAGCTGCCAGCTGACTAGCCTCATTAAGCGCACGGCCAACCGCAAAACTCTGCGGCGTCTGATTGTGCCGGGGGGCTTGGGGCAAGCCTTGACTTTCAGCTCTATCAAGCGCTGATGGTCCTTTCAAGTTCGACGTGCGCATATGGTCCTTACCCCGTCGGCTCCCTTGCGCTTCTTCCCTCCAATCACCTTCCCAGCCCTCCGCATCCCACGGCCTCTTTGCGGCAGGTGAGGTCTTGGTACAGCTGGGGGCAAGTGCGCTTCCAGGGATCCGGGCGCTGCGGCCGCTCCACCTGCGCCGAAAAATGCAGCCCTGGGCCAACCGCGAGTCCACACTGCCAAGCAAGGCCGAGCAGAAGTCCCCACCGGCATGAACACCGAAAACGGAGCAAGCCGCAGCATGCGCAGGCTCCAAGCAAAGCGATCGGCTCACAGCAAACCAGTGCAACATGCATTCTCCTGGAAGCAAAGCCTACGGCCAGGGACACCAAAACCAGAAAAAACACCTCTCCTCGGTGCGGAAGCCTGCCCCCTTCAACAGTTCAGGAGACGTCAGGCCTTTGTTCTGGAGGAATCCTGGGTGCAACACCTGCGCAGGAGTACAGGGGGCAAATTATATATATATATATATATATTTAAATGTATACATATACATTTACATATCTACACATATGTACTAGCACCAGGTGGTCTCCAATAAAACTCGGAACCTTTGCACAACGAATTCCCGCAGTAGCCCAAACACTGACTTCGCCTTGGTGACCTGAGCGCCCAGGTCGGCCAGCATGGCCCCCAGTGCCGTGGCTGACACCTCCCCGCGCTCGCGTGAGGCCGCGGTCAATCGCAAGCAGTTGGCACGTGGGGTGGGTACGCACGAAAACCTATGCCTGGGCGGGTAAATACACAAGCAGGGGGGGAGGGGGTTGCACACAAGCAGCCAAATGCATTGGAGAACAAACCCCCAGTTTTGTTGGAAATTCAGTGAGTTTTTAGGGATGCCAAAGACTGCCAGCGATCGTGACCGAACCTCATATGCTCCGCCGAAAAGAAACCTGCGCCAGCAAGCAGCTGCCTGATTGAATGTCGATGGCCACCGGAAGATTACAAATCTCATCCGGCCTTTACTTTCATGCATGGGCCACCCCTTCCCATCGAATTTCTCAGTTTTGGCTCAGCATGTTGGCAGTGCGGGAAGAGTTGGCCAATGTTCAACATGCTTTCGGACAGGCAATGTGAATGAATTTAGGATCAGCCTCCGATGTGTCTCGCATCCATACATGTGACTGCTTCAAAGGAGCATGAGCTTGAGTGGTTTGGACATGTGTGAATATCCGATGGATGGCATTTCGGTCCAAAGGGATCCCTTCAGCCAATATTCGCTTTTAATGCAGAGCATGGCGACGTGTGTGTGAAAGTGCTTGAGCGCGCTTCGGGAGCTTGAGGGTTCCCCCGGCTACCGAAATTGGTGGGTTCGTTTCCTTATCTTGCTCTACGGCATCCTGTTGGTCTTCTCCTTCGGTGCTTTCGCTCTGGTTTGTTGGAAGTTGGTGTGCCCCATGACGACGGTCACAGCCAAGGATTTCTGCGTCTCGTGGAACGGAGATGCTCATCAATGGCCAGATTATGTGCGGAAGGTGAGACTTCAATACGAGAAGACGGCCCTGGAGAAGAGATATCTGTTGGGTCCTGAGTTGGTGAGTCGATTGACGGACAGAGCCTGGGAGGCTTGCTTCGAGATTGACCATGGACGTCTGCAAGGGCAACATGGAGCGAAGTTTCTCCTCACTCATCTTCGTGATCGCCTATGCCGAGCCCCTGTACCAGATGCCGGAGCTCGCTTGGAAGATCTTCTGGTCCGTTTGCGGCGGACACCCGGCACTCCCTTTTCTCAATGGGCGCATCAGGTTCGGGAAACCTATCGTCGCCTTCAACGAGCTTTGGTTCGTGCGAGAAAGGAGTATGACGAGAAGCGGGGCAAGGCTGCAGATCGACATCTGCTGTTTCCTTCGACGCGGCCAAGACGAGCTTCGATGGAGACTCAGTCCGAGCCGGAGCCACCTTCGGCAGACACTTCTCGGGATATTGGATCACCTGCGAAGAGCACTCGCAGCGCCCCTGCTGACGGCCAACGCGAAGAAGCTGGCGACTTGGAGGGCGAGATCCACGAGATGACCTGGGAAGGCGAGGACGGCAAGTGGACTGAGGCAGATTGGCAGAAATGGCGAGAGATGGAATCCAAAGACAAGCCTCAAGAACCAGATCCTGATGATCTGCCCTGGGATGAGTTGGAGGTGGACACGATGGAGGTGTTGCCCGACGAGGTCCTTGGATGGTTGCTTCTCAGGCGAGCTGGCCTTCCTGCGAGTTCTCGTCTGTCCGTGCAAGCAGCGATCGGAAACTCCTTGCGCTTCACGGAAGTGGAGCGCGCTCTACGTGATCAAGAAGAAGAACTTCTTCAAGCTGAAGCTCGGGCATCTGAACGACGCGGACGACAGAAGCGATCGTACTGGGTGGAGCAGGAGCAAGAATGGGGCCTTCTGGACATGCACCCGGACTCTTCGGATGAGACCCCAGTGCATTGGATTGGCAAGGAGCTTCCGGCGGAGGTGTACGCCCTATCTGCTGCCGGTTCTGCAGGTGAACTTGATGCTGAATCAGGCGGTGATGCATGGTGGAGCTCTACGGCAACCTGGGATGAGCCTACATGGTGGTCATCTCCAACGTGGTGGACAGAGGAGTGGAGTGAGCCGGAGCTCACGAGTAAGGAACAGAAGCAAGTTGATGAAGCCTATGCTGCCTACAAAGATAAGGTGCGCACCTTCGTCCAGGCGCGCACTCTCATGAAGGACAAGGCGCGGAATCGAGGATTCTATCAGGCGGCCAAGGGCAAGGGCAAGGCTTCGAAAGGAAAAGGAAAAGGCAAGGGTTCAACGCCTACATTGGCGGCTGCCTCACCGACATTCATGGCAGTCAAAGGATCCAAAGGGAAGGCAAAAGGTCCCAACTACACCGGCTGTTTCATTTGTGGCAGTCGAGATCACGGGTATCAGAATTGCCCTCAGCGGACGCGTGGACCTGGCAAAGGTCGTCTTCGTCTTCAGGACAAGCCATGGTGGTCATCAGCGGCTGGGAAGTTCCTGATCTACCGGAGGAGGACCATGAAGATGGCTGTGGCTATGAATCCTACGCGGATGAGGTGGAGACGGTTCACGCCGAAGCTTGGACGGTGCAAGAAGCAGGACAGTGGAGCGACGGAGACTGTGACGTCTTTGACCGCACTTACGGAGATCATGAACTACAGGAAGGAGCTGTTCGGTGACGAGGATGTCAAGGTCTACCCGGCGGATGGGAAATCCTTCAGGTTCGGAAATGGCCGAACTATGCTAGCTTCATCCTTTGTGGAGATTCCGCAGTTCTTGAACGGCCAGTAGGTATGGCTTGGCGCCTATACCCTGGACACCGAGGACGCCTTCGTTCCTATGCTCATCGGAATGAGGACTCGGCAGAAGCTGGAGGTGGTCGTGGACTTTAGGTCTCGGCTCGCTATTTTTCCTACTTTGAGCCCAGATATGATTACTTTGTGTGATTCGGGCACGAGCCTGTGCCCAGGCAATGGGTTAGTTGGGGTAAACAAGCCACAAAAGAAAGGTTCCCCAAAAGCAAACCAATCCCCGGTCCCAAAGATCAGGGTTTCCCACACACCAGAGAACAACAACCAAAGGAAATCAAACCAAACAAGAAAAGGGTTAACCCGCAACCTTGGTCGACAACAGGCCGCACGACTGGTCCCTACCAACCTGGCGGCGGCCCGAGGTCTCTTTCTCCCCCGAGATGCCGTCGGTCGACGCAGGGGTTCGGCGACGCCCATTCGAGGCGCGACGGAACCCAAAACTTGAGCCAAAACACCACAGGTCGGTCACTAACGCGACGTCCCTGATGATGATATTAACCATGGCTAATCACACCCCCCTCACGAGGAGCCCGTCATATGACGGGTGGAGCGTGCCATTTACTGATAGGATTTAACTGCTCGCATGCGTCCGCAAACAGCTGGACACTACCGCCGTCAGCGGTGGAGCAAACCCACAAAGGCAGTTGCGCGACATCCCGGGCATTAAATTCCCGCCACCACCCCGAATTAATCGGGGTAACGCTGTCCAACATACCTTGTGGAAAAGTCCACATGACGACAATAGGTCACAACTGTTTGCATCAGAAATGCAAGAAGTTTAATTCTTATCAGAAGCCATGAAATAAAAGATAACGTATGTCCATTAGTACCCTCGCCTAACGGCAAGAGGTACCCCTGACCATGCGTACCTGAAAAATGCTTGAATTCCGCAAACCCGGGAGTAACCCCCCCATCAGTTTGCTTTCCCTCTCACTCACACTGCTTCCTGATGAACACGTCCAGCAGCCCAGCAGCGGTATGGGAGAGACATGACCTCCGCGCCTCAGCGGTCCGGGAGGAACATCACCACCTCCGCACCGCGCCGACCATTGGAGAATGGACGCAAGCCTATCGGCCGCAATCCTCGTACCGGCTATCGTCACGTCTCCTCCGGTCACGTCCGCCCCGCGCACGGTCCCTATCACGATCCCTTTCGGATCTCCTGCGATCATCTCGCCTTCGATCTCGCTCCCGATCGAGTGAATCATCATCACGACGATCACGAGCATCGTCCCTCCTCCGGTCGCGATCATCCTCGCGCCGCGGACGGTATCTGCGCCTCCTCGACTCTCTGGAATCCCTGGTGTCCACGGTCCTAACGGACCTCCGAGAAGGAGTACGGGAAACATCCGATTCCCTACGCCTCCTCCCAGATCGAGAGTTCGTCACGATCTGGTTGAGAGCCTCCAGTGCCGACGCGTCCTCACCATTCCTGATGAAATCCCTGACCTGCTTGTTCAGCACTCTGTTGGTGGAGATCGACAAGAAAGCGTCCACCACCGAACTCTCAGGCAGCACCAGGAAGTGACCCTCCACCGGGCTCGCCGCAGCCCGCTCAGCAGACTGCAGCCGGATCTCCCCGCCTTCAGGCTTCTTTGCCATCGCCTTGGAGGCCGTCAAAGGCGCTACCGCATCCTTTGCCGAAGATCTGCCAAGCGCGGAGTGAAGATCATCCCCGCTAGCTTCTCTCGCTGCCGCACCTGGTCTGCTGTCGACGTCGCCAGGCCTCGTGGACGCCTCCCGCTTTGTCGACTCCTTCGCAGCCTCGTCGGGATCCCAACGGGACTTCCTTTCTCTCTTCTGCCCTTCGGCCGACCCGCGGCTACCGCCGGGAGCGTCACCTCCGCCTGTCTTCTCCTTCTTGACCTCAACCTTCGGTTCGGCCTGCTTCGTCTCCTTAGCCACAGCTTTTGGAGCCGGAGCACTCTTCGCCTCAGATGCTGAAGCAGCCTTCCCTCTCGGCTCGGCCTTAGGAACCGGGGTCATTTTAGCCTTAGCACTCGGCCTGGCCCCTTCAACCACCATCTCGGCCCAAGACTTCTTCGGCTGAGCTGCTGCTGTATCAACCTCCATCGGAGCAGGTCCAGCATCATCCTTCGCCTTTGGGACAGATGGGCTACCGCCCTTACCAGATCCTTTACCTGGCTCTTCACATGATTTTGGTGGTGGGCCGGAAGGACTACCGCCCTTACCGCCCTTTTCCCCCTTCTTCCCTTTTCCTTTTCCGCCCTTGGGGACCGGCTCCTGCTTGGGACCAGGACCCGGCGCAGCATGATGCACCGATTGGAGTCCCTCGATGTCCACGTTCAAGGTTCGGGTTGACGACCGTCAAGAACCGTCCTCACCCTTTCGTCACTAACGTAGACGAACGGGTCACGGAAGGGTGCGGGAGGCTCCGACTGTCCGGCGCTGATCGCCTTCTGCACCTTTGCTATCGCCTCCTTCAACCTCTTCTTCTCATCGTACCCTGTCTCCGATACCATGTACTGCCTGAGCTGCGAAATCAACGCGCAGGACTCTCCAGGATGTCCACGTCCTTTCGATGGGTCGGGTACAATGGGGTCAGATGACCAGCCGCGGAGCCAATCACGTATGCCATCGGAATATAGAATGACAAGTACGTGTCATGACGAGCGAACTTCCTAACGGAAGTCGTCATACGCCTACCCCACTGAGCAGCGTGTCTTGGGTTGGCCCGGAAGTACTCCGTGACCGACTCAAATCTATCGACTTGGTTGGTCTTGATCAGGTGCTTCGCCACCCACTTCTCCACGAACGCATCCGAGGCCGAAATCCCGGACACATAGGAGAATTGGAAGAGCACCTTCGCCAGCTCATCCCACGCCGCATCGACACCTCCCTTGTCTTCACCAAGATAAGGGGGAAGTCTGATGCCGCTCTGCACCGTCATCCTCAGATCGGATGCCATCGAATAGGAAATCAAATTCCTCTTGATGACTCCGACCACTCGGAGGGAATCCTCCTGGGCTTGAACTGCCCCATGGTCCTCACCCACTCCGGCACGATGTGGCACGTTTCGAAGTCCTTTTCCTCCGCGTTGGGGATAAAGTTCGGGTAAAAGACCGGGAGCGCGCACCCGGGACACAAGTGCATCCCATTTGGCATCAATTCTGCGCACCTCAAGCAGAACGTGGCAGTCACATTCAGCCTGATCTCTTCCCGTGATCGCCTGTGCTCTCCCCTACCGGGGGTGAAGTCACCGTAGTCCCATGCCCGATGGTACACTATCGTGTAATCATCGTACATATACGCCGCCTTCCAAGCCCCCATGTGGATCTCGTTCCTAACGGCAAGAGTCTTCCTTCTCGTCAAAAACACGGGTCCAACCAAGGACCAGTGCACCCGAAGATCCACCATTACCACCACGTACCTACCGGAGTAGTTCCGCAGCCTGTCCCTGACATACCACGAAGGCGATACCTCAGCATCCGGCGCCATGGCTCCCACAAGTGGGATCAGGCCCTCATCCTGCCTACCATCCCCAATGGTCTCGTACACATCGGGCCTCGTGATCAATATCTCGATCATGGCCTTTCCATTTCGCCTCACCCTTTGGAGCTGAACCGCCTTCCGAAAGTCCGAGAACTTCATGATGACGTATCCCACCATGGGGAGTTCATTCCAATGCATCTCATACATCAGAGATCCGCCAGGTGCATCTTCCTGAGTATACCTGTGCCTAACGGCACTGTAACTCAAGTCGCGTCCGATCCGCGTGTGCCTAACGGCAACCAACCTGGTGCTCTCTTTGAGGAGAACGCCATCCCCGTCGTACATGACCATGAGCATCGCCTCCACTTGCCCTATCGGGAAAGCTTTAAGCGTCGGAATGAAGAACTTCCAAGACATCTCAGCGTTCTCCATGCCCGAAATCTCCTTCAGGAACCAGATGGCCTGGTCACTTTTCACCCAGTTTCCAGCCTCGCGTCCGGTCTCCTTCAGCACACGTTCCTCGAATAACTCCGAGACTCTCTTTGAATTGATGACCAAACCGTCGAAATCGCACGAGAGCAGTCTCATCAACTCCTTCGCCGCCTCCCGTCCCGCAACGGTGCCCACGGTCTCCTCGTAGTTCGGGAGGTATTCGCCCAACCTCGTCTTCGAGGGAACCACAATCTGGCAAGTGACGGCCTCATCAGGGATAACTCCCGTTTCCCTTAACTCTTGATTGATCTCTCGCCTATCGGCAAGATAATCCTCCTTCCCATCCAGAATCACAAGATTGTAGGTCATCTTGCTCGCCGCCCCACTAGGCCTGAACTTCCTGCTATCATCCAGCTGGTCAGGAGCAAAGGGTCCACTAGGGGCAGCTGCACTCACCAGAGGCGCCCCTCGCCCAGAGCATAGCTGCCTTTTGTGAAAGTTCACCATCTGATTCAGCTGCGATAGTGCATAGGCACGATCCTCCAATGACGCACTTTTCATCCCAGCCTCAGTCAGAGGAGCCTCAGGCTTGTCATAGCTCGCCTTTCCGCCCCATCTCGCCGCGACCAGCTCAGCAGACTTCGCAGGGTCGATCAAATTTCCCGACCACTCAGGCATGTTGCTCAACCTCCTAGTCAACGCGTCTACCGACGCAGCCAAGTCTTCGTCCGTCACGGTGTAAGGGTCGACCTTCTCCCTGTCTTCTTGACCCACATCCGGAAGCCTATAATCCCCGCGGATGGCCTCCAGCGCGGCCCTCTCGGCTTCCTCAGCCTCCTTCTGCGTGGCCACTGCCCTCGGAATCAAGAGCGCTACCTCGGCCGGCAGCGACTTCTCCATGTCTATCGGAGTGTTCTTGGGAAGGATCCTTCGATCATCTCCCTCCCCGCTGTATTCATAGGCAGGAGCAGTCTTCCGATACTCCTCGAAGGTAGCCCCTTTGAAGTTGGTAACCTCATTCGGGTCTGTCTTCCCAGCCTCAGTACCCCGAGGCGTGGGCTCCTTCGTCCCGGTGGAATCCTTCTTGGAGCCTTC